GTGAAGGTGGCTGGACATTCTCCCTGGATACATCGCAACCATCTGAAAGCAGGACCCTCTGTGGACGTCAAAAAGGACAAATGGAAGGTTATCAGCCAACCAGGTGACCAAAAGCTAAGATTGGAGTGGGTTGGAGATGTTTCCTCTTCATGATAATATTGTCTGGGACACTGGCAGTATTGTCCCCAAGAGGACTAGATCACACACACAAAATGTATGGATTCAATTGGCAAACTTGCTTAATTTGTCTGAATTCCGTCTAAATGTTATGTTGATGTAAATTTCCATCATGTACTGGGGACATGCCTCATGTTGTAAACCTAAAAATGCTGTCAAATTATATACACCCAAGGTAATTATGTCAAATAATACCCAATGTGCTATGTATGAAAATTGTACAACTAAATGTCTGAGGATAAAACGGTCAGAAGGGATGTCCTGCCATATAAAACAATTGGAAGACTTGGCTCAAAGGGTACATAATGAAGATGGCTGGGACTTGAGCCAATGGCTAACTAAATGGTTGCCCAACCTACAATGGTTAAAACAACTTTTTCTGGTCATTACAGTTGTGTGTATATGCTTACTATTGTCATGCTGTTGTATACAATGGATGCCTACGTTTATAAGTAAGATTATTTAAATTGTAAAATCAGTGGGGAATGTAGGACTGCATAACTCTGTAATCATAAAACTCCCCTAGCCCCAACTGCGATTGAATGTGAGTAAATAGATAAAGATGCTTCTTAGTTCCACGACACTAGATAAGATCCCTATCAGCCATAATTATCCAACTCTTTGTTACGGACACCACTATCTATAGAACAATCTACAAAGCATCTGCTGACCATCAGTACTTGTCAGGCTAATTAACATACAAATGTAAGACCACTAAACCTTTGTTCCCTCTTCTGTAAATTTTGTCCTGTTAACTCCCCTGCAAGCCCCTATAAAAAGAGCCTCGGACTCTGGACTAGCCTCTCTAAGCTACTTTGCTTTGGGATTGCCCTCTGGCCAGACTAAGGTCTGTTTCACTTTCAAAAAAAAAAACTACAACATTCCACACTTGGCCTCCAAACATTCACATCTGTCTCACAGTGCAAAATGCATTCAGTACATCTCCAAGGCTCCTCAGATTCTTAACTATTCCAGCATTACTCAAAAGCCCCAGTCCAAAACCTGCCCTGAGACTCAAGGCGTGGTGAGCTGCAAGCTTCTGCAAAAGATAAAATAGAAAGTTTCACACTTTCAGAGTAACATGTTGAGACAGGCACAGGTAAACATTCCTATTCCAAAAGGGAAGAGGAAAACAGTAAGGCGGGCCCGGCCCAAAGCAGGACCAAAACCCAGCAGGAAGCACATTAAATCCCAGAGCTCTATGTCCGCATCCAGGCTCAGTGGTGGAAGGTGGGTTCGCAGGGGCTCAGAGAACCACACTCCTAAGGTTCTGCTCGCTGCCTGTGGAGGGTGTCACCTGTTTTCGACACCTCTTCCTTCCTGGGGACTCCACTGCAGCTTCAGTCTCCCACAGCTCCACAATTCACCCTGTCACAGACTTGCTTCCAGGGACTTCAAACCTGCAGTCCACTGCCTGGCCTCCTAGGCTTTTCTTTGAATCTCAGTCGGAGTTGCCATTGTAAGACCGCTGTCTTTACCAAAAGCTCTGAGGAGCCGACTATAGTGAAGCACACCCAGGGATCCCAGCGGTCCCTCCAGAATGTAAGACCAAAGGCCTTACTGAATGCTCCAAGGAGCTGACTGCAGCGAAGAACACCCGGGAAGGAACACACCGGACAAGTTGGAAAGTGAAACAGACCTTAGTCTGGCCAGACGGCACTCCCAAAGCAAAGTAGCTTAGAGGCTCTTTTTATAGGGGCTTGCAGGGGAGTTAACAGGCAAAATTTACAGAAGAAGGAACAAAGGTTGAGTGGTCTTACATTTGTATGTTAATTAGCCTGACATGTACTGTTAGTCAGCACATGCTTTGTAGATTGGTCTATAGATAGCGGTGTCCGGAACAAAGGGTTGGAAAATTATGACTGATAGGGATTTTACCTAGTGTCCCGGAACTAAGAAGCATCTTTGTCTATTTACTCACATTCAATCACAGGTGGGGCTAGGGGAGTTTTAGGGTTACAGAGTTATGCAGTCCTACACCATGACCCCACGGCTCTTGCATTCTTCATCCCAGCATCATGTGGATGATGCCAATGTTACCACCAGTGTGGGCTACACCTCATCAGGTGTGGGGAATGATTCCAAAGGCATGCAAGGCTCTTTGCTGAAGAATTTCTGCCTGAGCCAAGTTTTTATCTTTGTATCTTTGAGCCTGTGATGGGAAGGGTGGCCTTGCCTGGGATGTTCTCCAGATATCTTTCTTATTGTCCCCAAGTACTTGGCTTCTTTTTATCAGCACTTAGCAACTAAACTCTCCTTGACCACACCTTTATACACAGGCCACTTTTCTGGCCAACATGCAAGTTTTTCATATCTTTCTGCTCTGCTCCTCTTTGCTCCTGATACTCACTTTAAAACTGACTAAAAACAGCCAGGAGTAACCATGCCACCATCTTACTGTTTTGCTATCTTGAAATTTTCTCTGCCTGATTAAATGAGTCTAGCACCTTTAAACTTGACCTCCTACAAAGCCTCAGGACTTTGACACAATGTACCCAAATTCTTTGCTACAGTGTAGCTATGTTATGTGTGGTCTAGTTCTCCATAGAGTCCTCATTTCCACCTGAAACCCCATCAGCCTAAACCATACCGTCCACATTCATATCAGCATTCTGGTCTTTTGATCCTCCACCAGGATCATCGTTAAGGGAAAGCGACTTATAGGCTTTCCCTAGCCTCTTGCTCCAGGCCTTTCCAAACTCCTCCTCTGTAATCATTAATCCTGCTATGTCAACTGCACTGGATTAAGTAATGCCTAGGAGATCAGCAAAGCAATCTTCTGGGTCTGTCTGGATGGGTGGACTGTGGAGGCCTGGCTCTGGGTATTCAATGGTTCCTAACCTGCATGCCACACACCAGTACTTGTCAGTGACCCATGAGGAACCAGGCTACACAGCAGTAGCTTCATCCATATTTACAGCCGCTCTCTACACTTGCATTACCCCGAGCTCCACCTCCAGATCAGCCCATAGGAACCTGAACCCTACTGTGAACTGCACATGCAGGGGATCTAGGTTGCATGCTCCTTATGAGGCTCAACTGCCTGAGGACCTGAGGTGGAGCTGAGGTGATGATAGCACTGGGGAACAGCTCCAAATGCAGCTTAACATTAGCAGAGAAATTTGAACAGAGACCATAAGAAGCTAATGGCTAAGCAGAAGCCAACTGCTAAGCCAGCATGTCATTCTGCCCACACGTTGCCCCCAACACAAATAAGCAGATCACACCACCCGAACAGCACCCCCGACACAAACAAGCAGGCCATGTTGAAATGTGGCATGGCCATCAGCCAACTCCAAAGCAGCTCTGCATTTTGCTTCTCCATGGCATAGGGCAATAGAGATGTGGACTGATTCTGGACAAGGGCAATGCCCAGGAAAAGAAGGTGAGCCCAGAGGCCAGCAGACCCAAGGAGAAAGTACAGACCTGGCCAACAGCTTCTAAAACCATAGTGTTACCCCCCCAAAGTGACACCTTGGAGAAAGGATGGTCCAGACATAGATGCACCTGAGAAGTATAAATTCAGGCTGGCAAGGACAGGGTTCCTGCCCTCCATAGGGACTACCAGATCCTGTGAATGTCAACATTAAGTTCAACAGTCCCCTTAAACCTCTGCCTGTGGCCTGCATCCAGTAGGCCAGAGAGCTGATTGCTTCTCCCTTCTACAAACATGAGCAAGGACATACTTTGGCTTGGATGGTAACCACAGTCTGGGGTGAATGGACAGGGAGGTATCCGGTGCAGGGAGGGCACCTTGAAAATCCATAGGCCTAAAGCTAGGTGGAGAAAATCATGACTGGCTGGATCCCAAGACTGCAGATCCTGGAAAAAAACTACTCATTCAAAAACACAGAGGAGGGCCGGGGATTTAGCTCAGTGGTGCTGTGACTGTCTCACAAGCGCAAGGTTCCAAGTTAGATCCCTGGTACCACCCCCACACACACACACACAAAAAACAGAGGAATTTTTTCTTTCAATAATTTTAAAAATTTCTCTATTTTAAATTACTTTTCTCTTTCTTTCATCCATTTTATTTTTGAGGAGTGAGGGTTTTATACCTTTTCTGTCTTTTTTCTCTCTCTAGTTTCTTTTCCCTCTTTTTCTTTTCCCCTTCCAACTTTTCTCTGCCTTTTTGCCTTTCATTTCCTGTATTTTACTTTTTCTTTTTCGTGTTCATTTTTTTTCCTGCAGATGTTCTGTAACACTGTTATCCTTTTACTCTGTAATAGGGCCTCCATCTTGATTTTCTCTCCTTCTTCTCATATCTCATTAATTTTTCAAATTTTACTTTCTTCATTTTCTGGTTCCCCACCTCCTTTGCCTTTATTAGTATAACTATAAAGTTTTCCAACTCTCTAGATAACTAGATAACTTTATGCTGTTACTACTGTATACTGTTCTATTGTTAGTGGAGATAAAGTTCCATTTAATATGTATTTATTGTAGGTCAATATTTGATTTGTCTTAGTGTTCATACTATAATTATAGATTTCTATGGTTAAGGGTGGTACATTATTGTTCCTTAGGGTTTATCAATATTGATATTGTCTTTGATGCTGATTTTATTACTATAGCCAATGTGACATAGTCATTGCTATTAATTGGTTTTCTTGATCTGCCAATATCTGGATTGCCTTGAGTTCATTAACAATACTGTGGTCCACACCTGGAGAAATGGGTATAGGGTCAAAAATGCTATAAACTTCACCTTAAGTAAATGGAGGTGGTAGAATCCTAGGAGAGAGGCAAAGGCCAATATAGTGGACCCTCAATATCGGGGATGACCAGCCTGACATATGAACTTGGGTTAATTAGGTTAATGGAAGATTCATCTGCCTCCTGTTATCTATAGTGTCTGCCTAGGTAAACATCCAGAGCTCA